ATCTGTGATCTACAGGTTTTGAGCTGCGCTTCTTATCAGAGCATCAAAAAGTCCCGCCGTGGAGGAAAAATGCATTTCCAGAAAATAAATAAAAAATTAACTGTTAAAATGCTTTAAGAGAAAAAAAAAATCTGGAAGTAATTTTATTAAAATCACAAAACACTTGTGTTGTTCAGTCAAAAACTTCACCGATGAGCAAATTTAAACTTTTTCCCCACAAACCTGTTTTGTAGGGAAAACCCCCCAGATCCATTTTATTTAACTAGAATATTTCGAGTTTCACATCCGTACACATCCAACATGAAGAGATACATCTCAGCATCACTCAGATATTCCCCCTGCAGAGGCTGGGACCAAAGACGTTAACTTTTATTTACTAAAACATTTCTCAGTGAGTCCTACAGGTTGTAAATTCATCACAGGGCTCGTGATGGATGAAATAAAAAAAACAAGATATTTTGTTGAAGCTCCGTTGAAAAATAGGACAAATATTTTGTCCCTTCTAACAAGGTTGAGTCAGGTCCTCTGGATGGATTCTTCTAAAACAAACTACCACCTTCCAACATCAGAGGAGGATGCACTCACCACGCTCAGCACGGACAAGAACATCATCATCCTCCCAGCAAAGGAAGGTGCAGTGATTTTGAACCAGAAAGGCCATCATGAGATGACTCGCCTTAGTGACTTGAGCCGCTGAAAAAGATCCAGGAAGTGGTCACAAGAAGTTGATAAAATGTCTGAAACATTGGAGAAGGACGAGATCTACCTTTAAGACTGATTGTTAGCATGATTAACTTTGTCATGTATCCAAATGTCTGGTGTCTCATCCCTTTAGTTGGCAGCTCAGAACACTGGTGTCCACCGAGCGTGGGCGTACCTTTCAGGGACACCACCAAGTCATTGGTTCAGGTATGTTGACGACACCTGGGTTAAAATTAAATCTCAGGAAGTCCAACATTTTACTGACCACATCAACTCTGTGGATAAATACATCAAGTTCACACGAGAAGATGTAAAAAATGGCAGGTTGGTTTTCTTGGACTGTGAGGTCTCAGTTTCTGATAGAGGACATTTGCAAACTGAGGTGTACCGCAAACCCACCCACACAGACCAGTATTTGCAGTTTGACTCCCATCACCCTTTGGAGCACAAGTTAGGAGTCATCAGGACTCTGTATCACAGAGCAGACAGCGTCCCCACTAACTCAGGAGCCAGGCAGAAGGAGAAATCCTACACAAAACAGGCTCTAGAGCAATGTGGATATCCTAACTGGGCCTTCCTGAAAGCAGAGAAGAAACCCAAACCAGTGGTCATTCCATATGTTGAGGGAGTATCAGAGAAACTGAGACGTTTATTTTCTAAACATAACGTCCCAGTGGCTTTTAAACCCCAAAATACATTACGGCAAAGACTGGTTCATCCCAAAGATCCAGTCCCCCGGCACAAACAGAGTAATGTTGTGTATGCTGTTCAGTGTCAGGAGGGTGATCAGTTTTACATCGGGGAAACTAAACAGCCACTGGCCAAAAGGATGGACCAGCACAGAAGATCAACATCATCAGGCCAGGACTCTGCGGTCTACACTCATCTCCAGGCCAGCGGTCACTCTTTCAGGGATGAAGATGTTCACATCCTGGACAGAGAGGAACGATGGTTTGAGAGAGGAGTAAAGGAGGCCATCTTTGTGAAAAGAAACCATCCATCATTAAACAGGGGTGGAGGCCTCCGGGTTCAACTGTCCCCCTCTTACAATGCTGTGATTGCTAGTATCACTCAACCCCCTGTGAACAGTAAACAGTTATCAAAATGCTAACAACAAAGGTTAGTCCTCCGTTTACATGTGAACTAGTTTTGTCTGTCACCAGAAAACTGTTTGATCCACTATGAGGAGGTGCTGCTCTGTTTGTTGTAGCTCCTCAGACTGAAGAAGTCTTCTGGATAAAACATGATCTGTCCAGATGACTTTTAACTTTTTGTGTGATTTATATATCTGGATGATTGAGGTAACTTACTATTTATTAAAAGATGAACTATTTCAACAAAGAATCCATCCAGAGGACCTGATTTAACCTAGTTGGATTTATCCACCTGGATTATTGAGCATCAGGACACTTCATCCCTTCGTTGCTCAGACCACACGATCCACTCATCATCTTCTTTCAGCTGTTCTCTTCTTCTTAGGTCGCCACAGCGAACTCGCATGAAAACTTGGCATTTGTTTTATCGCCGGATGCCCTTCGTCACACACTCACGATCCACTCATAATTAGATTTTATTGATATGGTAAAACTTGATTTTAGGTTTGTAATGTGTTAATCTATAATCTGCCTAATTTGCAAGTACACATCTGTGCAGCTCAGCTGAATGAACCATTTTCAGAAGGTAAATATAAAAAAAAACATGCGTTCATAATTTATAATCAATGCGTTAAAGGTGGTTTTGAATGCTTCCAAAAACTCAATATCAAAATTAACTTATTTTATTGTAGTAAAGTCTGATCTTGCTCCAGGTGTTTTTCCACCTCCATGTTAATTTTTAGTGTTTATCCACAGTTCTAAAGTGTTATTTTATTTATAAGCAAATTATTTCTGTTTAAGGATGCTAAAATGAAAATATCTACACGTTCAAATAAAAATGAGAGTGAACAAACAGCGACACTCCTTTCAATCAATTTATATAAAAAAAACAACTTTAAAATAAAGCACAAATTTAACAACTGATGTGCTCGCCAGGACAGAAAGCAAAAACAAAAGAACGTCCACATTCATTTGTAAATACAACGCTGGATTATCGATCTGTTCAAGGACAAAAAGAAACCTGTATTGGCAGCAAACGAGTAGAAAGACAGAAAACCAACAAAGTCATAACGAACGAAGTATTAGCAGACCTGAAAACTTATTTACATGAACAGGAACACATCACGCACCTCAGCCACCTTTTCTGCCGACACACGTCAAAAAATAAAATAATCAGAATAAACACGCCACAAAACATTTGAACGTTTTTTTGTTTGTCCGGGTCGTTGAAAATGAACGTTTGGAGTCGAGCGGAGCTTAATGAACGATTAAAAACTACCTGCAGCTCATTAATGTCCTTAAAACCTCCAAAGATGGGACATCTTTTGGCAGCACGTCAAAACATTCGATTTAAATTAAATGTGGATTGATTTTTAACAAAAAGCTGTTCAGCTAGGAATTTTATTTGTGAAAGAAAACGAACTGAAGATGCTGCAGCGTCTCTCAGACATCCTCGTCTCAGAGTTTCAGCTCTTTGTTTCACCAGAAGAACATCGATCAGCAGCTAAAGACTTTAACTGGAACCAGAAATTAACCAGAGATCAAAACGGAGTTATTAAAATCTTTAACCTCATAAGTGCCTCCTTTAAAAACTACTATGATGTGCAGCAGCACAGCTCAAATGGTCTGTTAATGGTTCAGAATCAGAAAAAAATAAATATTTACTTCACATTTTAAAGCCAATAAACAGCTTGTGCTGAATCTTGTACTAATAAAGGTTTGTTATTTGTTAACTTCACCATCTGGGGTTCATTTTAAACCGCAAAAACTGTTAACACAAAAACTGTGTTTTGCCAAATTTATATATAAGAAAAAAAAAGCAGAGCTGAAAAAGTGAACAAAATAATCAACCGTCGTCATGACAATGGATGACCTTTAAGTGTTTTAAAGGGATCTCCGACTAGTTGCACATATCAGACTTAATGTCGTTTCTCTGTTCTACTAAAAGCTGTGGTTTTGTGACATGTGAAAACCCTTAAAAATTATATATGTTTATTACATTTTGGGACATTTTACCGGTGCAATGCATTCTGGGGTGATGACGTACATCGGTTTGAGGAGACGAAAGCACAAGGAGTCAACAGTAAAACGTATATTTTGCATTAGTCCGTATGTGATCAACTTGTGATGTTTAATATAACATATATTTTATATATATATATATATATATATATATATATATATATATAATATACATATAATATATACATAAACACCAGTGTTTCCCATAGTTAGCTTGCCATGGCCGGGTGCTCATCTCAGCCATGATTTTTGCTGATGGGGGGACGGAGACATGTCTGAGCGCAGCTTGTACTAACAGTTTTTGAGCGGAGGCCATTCAACATGAGGGAAGAGGCAATGTGAGTGCTGCTTTGGCTTTTTAGCTAGAGAGCCTGTATTTTGCACCGCTAGCTTAGTGATATGTCAGTGCCGGGTGGGAGGGGCAAGTTCAGTTTGGTAGGCGGGGTGCTCAGTTCTGTTGATGGGGTGGGGCACCCCGCCTGTATAATGGTAGGGGAAACACTGAATACATATAAATATATACATATACATATATAATATAAATATATAATATAATATATAATTTTTTTTTTTTAAGCTCGGGAGCTAATGTGAAACCTGCGTCATTTCACTGTTCTCCTCTCTGTCATCGCACTTGGTTCAAATTAAAGAGCTGAACATCAGATGTCTAAAATTAACTCAAGCTCAATGGAGCTTGCACTGAAGCAACCAGTCTACATTATTTACCCAGAAGGCATTGCGTCATAAGTAAAATGGCAAGGTCCACATCAGTAATAAACAAAAAAAAAAGGAAACTAACAGCCTGCAGTATTTTAGTCTTGTTTTTATAGCTGAAGTAATTCTTGAACAAATAAGGTCTGTTGCTCCAACTAGTCAGGAGATCCTTTAAAACCACCGACGTGTGAAGTAACTTTTAACTGGTTCAACCATGATGCAAGAGCGTCACCATTTAGTTTATCATCAACTCCTTTAACTAACTCCTTAACTGCACATGTTCAGACTTATTTTTTAAACCTTACTTGTTTAATGGCCAAAAAAATTCAGTGATGCAGCAAAGTTCTGCTACAGAGCGCTTCGGACGCCTCGGACGTCTTTAGCACTTTGATGGTTCCAGGAAAACACCAGATGAGCACATCTTTCAAAAAATGGACGAACACAGACGTAATATTTCTTTCTCCCAAGTCCTATGTAAGTTTTTAACGTCTTAACAGGTTTTGATGGATGTCTCCTGTTGACAAACCAGAAATTCCACTTTTGGTCCCCATTCTTGCTTGCCTTGGTTTTTTGTTTGAATCTTCAGCATCCAGAGCTGAGGTTGAAGATAAATCTCAGCAGTCCGGAGCAACCGGGTGGCTTGAATGAACAGTGGAGGTTCAGGTTAACCACATTCAGGGGTGTTCTCCAGGCTCGGGTAGTCATTTGTGAAAAATGTAGATTGGCCTTTGAAAACCTGTGGGATTGAGGAAAAATAAATACATTTCTTAGAGGGGAAAAATAGCTAATAATATGTAATAGATAGCTATTGAACACGTTCGATTACCTCTTACTGAACACTTGGGAGAACCAAGTTGCTCAGAACTGCTGAAGCCCACCTCAGCTGTGAGATAAGAGGAAAACTGCTCGGGTTTGAGTTGGATGTTGCGAAAATTCCGGTTAATGTTCTCCTGTTAGGTGGGAACCCGCCCCCCCCAACAAACGATTACTTTTTTCAGCCAAACCAGCTTTAGAAACACTGCTACATGTATATATTTATATAAAACAAATTATGGTGAATATTTTTTATTTCTTACCGTCAGCTTCTTCCTCCTGACGTACGACTCCCAGGGCTGTGGCTCCAGGATGAACATGCCTCCAGGACGGAGGTGTCTGTAGGCTCTCTTGAAGAGCCGCATCAGGCCACAGTCCCCCCAGTTCAGGTGGACCCACTTGGTAACGCTGAGGCACAGGATCACATCGTACTCTGGACGCTGAGTCAAGACAAGCTCATCCCTGTCCAGAATATAATTGGCCTAAAAAAAAAAAAAAAACATAACAGAGGGGATGTGAAAAACCTGGGCCTGATCAGGTAATCATTTTTATAAAGTACTAACAGAGCTGTAAAAAGTTAAAACTTTTAGGACTTGAGAAAAAGAAAAGCTCAAAGTAAGTGCAGTCATTAAAATGTATGGGCACAAAGTCCAGTCATGTATATTTTGTGCTTGTAAATCTGAATGTGTAGTGGATACATTTTGAACCTTGTAAACCAAAATGTCTGAGAATTACATCTTTGTGCATCCGTAGATAAGAATTTATGTGCAAGTTACCATTTTTTAAAGGTGTGTTTACAGATACAGAGCAAAAACAAACAAACAAACAAAAAAAAAACTACATGCAAAACTCTGTGCTCAGTTCCTTTACATGTGTGTGTTTCAACTTCAAGTACGTATTACAACCGGATGTTTCTTCCTCTCAGCTGATTGGTCAACGTCATGTCAATCACAAATTTAACTATCCAATCAGAGAACAGATCGGCTGTCGGGGTGGCACTTTACTGAGCTGCCGGTCCTGGAAGTGTAGTACATTTTAAAGATGCAGGATGGCACCTCCAGATGTGAGGAGAGCTCCATTCATTTTCACTGAGAGAAACTTGGTTGACAAAGCTAAATATTTCAAAAAGTAAAAACTGCACAAATACCAGAAGTTCCTTGCAGAAATGTCCTGAATGAGTTGAACGTTTTGATTTATGTATTGTTGAAGCAGAACAAAAATTGAGGAACAAGAGATGAGCTGAAAAACGTACAAAAGAAAAATGGATCTCAACAGTGTGAATCGTTTAGAAACAGTCAAGACTACTATATACCTACTGAGAGGTGCTGTCCAAGTTTTATTTAAACCTACAGCTACACAACCTGTTGAGAGAACAACAGCCTGCTTCTGTTGGTGAGTTCAACATCAAGTTTAACTGTACAAACTCAAGTTTGTTTCAGAAGTTATGCTAGAGGGGAAAAATAAAACAAACTGGCAACAATTCAAAGGAAACCCCTGAGATTATGGGACTTAAGGAACAGCTGCGGAGACTACACAACAATTCGTTCAATAATGTCAACAAACTGAACAGACAATATTGTGGACTTTGGGATAAAGGATAATCATTACTCCTGTGGAGAGGATTGGCACCACGGAGGAGTTCTTCTGGACTCAACGTCACACATCCATCCAGGCTGTCACATTGTAAAGTTTGCAGATGATACAGCGGTGGTGGGATGCATCACAAACAATGATGAGTCCAGCTACAGGCAAGAGGTGGAACACCTGGAGAGCTGGTGCAGAGAGAACAACCTTCACATCAATGTGAAGAAGACAAAGGAGATGATTGTGGACTTCAGAAGGAACAAAAACATCTACACCCCCCTGAACATAAGAGGATCTGCGGTGGAAGTGGTCTCCAGCTACAAGTACTTGGGTGTACACATGAATGACAACCTCAGCTGGAGCAACAACACCACCAGCCTGATCAAGAAAGCTCATCAGAGACTCTACTTCCTCAGACGGCTGAGGCGAGCTGGTCTGGGAAGCTCAGTCCTCACCTCCTTCTACAGGTGTGCAGTGGAGAGCATCCTGTGCTCGAGCATCAATGTGTGGCATGGAGGCTGCACAGCTGCAGAAAGAAAAGCTTTGCAGAGAGTGGTGAAGGCTGCACAGAAATCTGTTGGAATCAGTCTCCCCACCATCACAGACATCTACACCTCCAGATGCAGGAAGAG